TCATCCTGGAGGCTGTCGTGAAGATAACAGGCAGGAACTTGGTGGTGGATGGTCACTCCAAGGGAGCCGGGGGTTTACAAGTCCCCTGCTGATGATCTCTAAATGGTGTTAGTAGCCTAACCCGGTGGCTGAGTGTGTAGTCAACGAATGAAACCACTTGAGTGTGTGAATGTACGTGTGTGAGAGTATGAGAGGCTGACAGAGATGAGGGGTGGGGTAGGGGAGAGGAGGCTTTAGCCTTGTCTGACCAAGGACAGGAAGCAGGGGAGGGAGGGGAGTCAGCAAGCAGGACGCAGCTGCTGCTGCTCAGGAAGGGCCCTACAGCAAGCTGTCCGGAGCTGGGTCACCACCACTGATGGTGGGAGGGGGTGCAGGCTGCAGGAGCTGAGATCAGGACCTCTGTCGAAGTGACACACTACAGCAGGTCTCACTGGTGCAAGTTGACAGGCTTAGAAATAAGGTATTGACCACTTCTCATCAACAACTCCCAGCACCAATACAGTTTTACTCCACCAGCCACCTGCAAAACAGAAAAGAGAGCAGATACATGTAAACAACACACTGATTTGTCTAGCATTACATATCAACAAGCAAGCATTCCTAACATTTGGAAATAATATAACAATTCAAATATATTTTAAAAAGCATGTGACAGCATGTGACAAACACTATTCTTAGTCAACAGGATGATCAAAAAGCCCTTTGTCCCATTTTGATCTGAAACATCATTTCCATAGAGAGCCTCAGTCTCACTGAAACTAAGATGACTCCATTATCTGATAGGTGTTGTATGCAGAACTTGCAGACAATCATGCATATGAAAAGACTAAACACAGGAAAAACACACTCTTACAGCCAAACAAATGGCCCAACCAACATGTAAAGCTGGCAAGTTGGTCTACCAGGCAGTATGTAGAAGGATAACAATATATATTCACCAATATGAAATGCTGTAGTGTCAAAATGTGGAATATATATTTTCAGACATACCATTATATTTGATTAGTGAATGAAAGGGAATTAACTGGTACAATTTGGAAAAAAGGTGAAGACGCCATTACAAATGTGTTTCATTAAAAAAATAGAGGTCTAGTTCCATTAATTAAATAATTACAGTTGTCACGGCCATGGCAAAGTGGCAAAGGAGGCAAACTACTGCCTGGTTTGTCTTGCAACAGACAGTAAAATAAAATGACTAATCTGACCTTAAATGAAATGTAAATTCAGATTTGTTAGAAATATCAGATGAATACAAAAACACTGGTTCTCTTATCTGTTGTAAGATATTCTTGATATGATGTACATTATGGGTAAAAGCACCCATCAGCCACTTCTGCATTGCTCAAACACTAGTCTAAAACAATGACTGTCTGAATCACCTCCTTAAAAATAAATTAGGATTGCATCAGGATGTCTCCAGTATTTGTCCCTTTTTCAAACTATTGTTTCCACCTACTACTGAATTGATACAGAGTATTTCAAACATAAACACTAATCCTAATGCATAAGTACATGTGTGAAAAAAAAAAAAAGGTGCAGCGATATATGACACTTCAATCTATATCATGCAGTTCCAGCAAGCAGACCATCAAACACATGTAGCCTGCAGCAGCAGCTGGTTGGGGGCTTGTGAAACCGGCCCTCGTCAAAAAGGATGTTACCACAAAGAGCTGCTTCCTCCCTCATCCCATCCCTCCCTTCCAGTACACAGCTGTCCAACAGCACTGCACCCACTTCCACAGCTCATTGTTCTACATGCACATGAAAGCGGAGGAAAACCTAAAGTAGGACATGTAGGCATACACAAAAATGATTAGCTAGTAAATGGTCAGAGTTTTTCTTTTCTTACATTCACCAGACTGTTTCAGTAGTTGTTTTCACACAGTCTGCCCACTCAGAGACCCAGATGCAACTAGGCCTCTTCCAGGATGGATCAGCAGTGATTCATCAGTTCATTGTTGGGTGAGCAATGACAAGTGATAAATTTCAATTTAGGGACATGTCTGATCTTCCCGAAACATGAAGAAACATCGTTTGATCAACACGTGGTAGATATAACTTGCCTGAATGGACAACTATAACGAAAGCAAGCGCTGATTGCAATCTCTATGACTAATCCTTCAGATAAACCTGATCCCTCTCTACAAACTGATAAGAGTTCACACTGATAGTTCTTTGTGTTTTCACCATCAAAGGCTGAAAATCAAATCAACCTTGACCACACTTTTATGAAGTCACATTCTGAATGTGGGTTGGTGGGGAGAGCTGAAGCCCCTGATTGACTGATCAGTGCCTAATTAACTGTAACCGTGATTAAAGATGATCTGTGTTCTGTCTTACAAACATTATCAGTGGCTTCTTCTGAAATACTGAAAATATGGGTGATATAAATTTACAAAAAGGAGTGCCATCCTAAGAATTCCCCAAATTAACACACGGTATAATCACAGCCTTGCTATTTGTCCACATTTCTTTTTAAATTTTCCATGGACAATTGTCATATTTTAACCATTCAAGGTACAGCATACCAACTGAAAAACAAATGTCAAGATCAATACTCCTCTGAAGCTCTTTTTAAATCTCAATCCACTCCATATGAACTGGAAAAGAAGCCACCTGGATGTGGTAAACAATGAAAACCACCCCGAAATCGCTGTTATACTGGCTTAGATAAAGTTGTCATTTATCAAAGGTTAGTCTCTTCTGATTTACACTAATCAGTAATGCCAGAATTTTTTAGCTTTAATAAGGTCTGCTAAAAAACACATTACATTGAAAAGATCGATATTGAGACTTTGCTTTACTGTGTGAAATCTGTCTGAAATGCTTGACAAGTATGAAGTACAGGGAACTGACAATATGGAAGAACGATTCGGTAAGTAGTAAGCACCCCCCACCCAGAGAAAGAGAGAAAAGGGATTCAGAAAGACGCATCTAACGTTACACAAATCCCCCAACAGCAGTAAAAATAGCCGTTAGTGATGCTATAATTTAACTGTACAACACAAGCATACCTATAACATTAAAACATTACTTCAGTGGCAGTAGCTAACCCTGGTATGTAGCAGGCTAATGTAAGTAACCTCGACAATTTGCTAACTAGCTTAGCAAACGTTAACAGAACACAACTTGTTTAGGTTAAAGTTATAGTTAGACACCTTATAACAACTATCACTATCTAGATTATGAGTCTAACGTTTTAATACACTGTTTGGTCTTTAAATAAAAAGTCGTGAGCCAAAGTTTTCTACCTTTTAACGGTTAGCCTAGTTACTTCACCCTTCCTCCTCTTCCTCCATTCCAGAAACTTTTTGAACTTCTCACAACTGAAGCTAAGCTATGCTAGCTGTTAGCCCAGCCCTCCGAGGGAGAGTGGCGAGCTTCTGCCCAGGGTACTCTACTGATGTAGCTCACTCAAGTTCACTTCTACTCTTTTAATTGAACAGACGTTTAGTCACATACCTCTTAACAATGCAGGCAACGCATGGTAACGTGTTTTCTTGTGAACGTTAAGGCTGTTGTTCCTACTTTCTTACAGATTTTCTCTGGTTTTCCAACGCTTCTTCCCTCCGTCTCCCCGTGCCATGTCCTCCAGATCCTGGAGACAAGTAGACTGGAGAGGCGGAGTACATATCACTCCGCTGCACTGATAAACTAGTGCTCGCTTTGGTGTTACAGCTTAACAGGATTCTGCTACTTATTTACCAAAACAATACTACCATAACATTAGCTATAACCACATTTTTATATTCTGTCCCCAAAGCACTACATCCAGAGCATTACTTCTCAACACATTTAATTCTCTTTCCTAGCGCATAAATCAGTGTTCCGAATGAACAAACTTTTTTTCACTTTTGACAGTTGCAGCTAGATCATGAGGGTCATAAATGACAAATGACAAAAACAGCGGCATCTGTAACAAATAAACATGATATCTAGTCTTTTAAATCGTTTTTGATGTTTCAATGTATGAAGTTGGGACTCTTACGGTGGTCGTGCTGCGGCTCTGGAACGTCTCACAAGTTGCTGGCTCCACTCAGTCTGGAGCACTGCGGCTCGTTGTGTATTGTTGTCCTTTCTGGTCACTTGCTGGACCCTTCAACTGTTCCCTGCGTTGTCAATTCATTTCACTTTAATTAATCAAACTAATAATTACTATTCATATTCCACACCCATTTCCGTCGACGAACCGAGGGTGGATTCTTCGCTCAGTCTTCATAGTCCAAATGAAACGCAGTGTCCACGTTCAACCACTAGCGGGCAACCTAGGCTCAGTTTTGGCCAATTATGGTACATTTACAATTTATTAATAAAACTTTATTCTCTTGATTTCAGTTTGCCTCTCCCATGCCATGCTGGAAGAGATATAACATTGGTGATAAAGTGGCTTAACAGAAAAATAACAATTTCAGCAATGTAATGTGTTTCCTGCCATGTAGCCTAGGTAAACTGTGGGAATTTTGGTTTACTTTCCATATATTTTCATTATCTATAGAAAAATTATCTCCTTACAAAGTAATGTAATGTAGTTTGTGAAATGCGAATGTGAAAGTGCCCGTAGAACCACACATACAGTATCTATCCATCTATCTATCCATCCATCGGAAAGACTAGACAAGATGACTTGGGTACCAGTTTATTTTGAGGCTGGATTCATTGCAATTAAACAAAACCCAAAATGTTGCATGCCACAAGAAAAATCAGAGCTTCATATTGTCATAATAAAGAAGAGAAATCCTTCATTGGCAAATGTGCTTATTACAGGTTACAGGTCGGTAATGAGAAACAGGTGTCAATTAACCCTACAGCCACACTCGAGATTTGGTCCTTACTGTGAGGAGAAGGAAAAGTTTACATTTCTGCCTCGTTTAAAAATATCTGTCCCATTCTCTGTTAAATCTTCCATCCATTTGTCCCCATTAAGGAAATCTTAAATGTTGAGAGTAATGATTTGCTCAAATATAACCAGCAGAGGAAACTCATTCGATGCTATTTCTAAAACAAAACACAAGAGGTTGTGTCTACTCAAATGCCAGTGTTGCTGCAATGCAGCTATGAGTTTACACTGATCTAATTAAATATTCACAATGAACCTTGACATAGTGGCGTTGAGCCAATTCTAGAAATTGCTCACATATTTCCTAATTTTTTCTTACGTTTGTCATAGAAAACCAAAACCATGGTATTAAGTAATCAAATATTTTACTCATTTATGTACAAAAAAGAATTACCATTTCCACAACCTCCTTATCTCTTGTAAAGAAAAATATGCCATAGCAATGGAAATGTGCAAAGACAACTTTTATTTACAAAGACATCAAGGCTAAAAATGAAGTAAAGTCGTAGTCTCTATCGGTGCAACCTTGGAAAGAAAAGATGACCCCCTCCAAATCTACTCTTATGTGCACACTTTAGTCCAGTTTGTGACAAACTTCCATTAAGTGGGGTCATCAAGGGACAAATGAGTGATTATAGTTATATGGATTCATACAGAAACAGCTGCTAGTAACTGTTTTGTGTAACAACTGCCAAATGTCTTGCTGCAGTGTGATTAAAAACATCACATTTAAATGTACAATAAAGTACATCACATTAACAGATTGAGTAATATATCACATTCCTATTTTTTCCAAATCAGAAAATCTGTCAGTATTTTTTTTACTTTGTAACCATTATAAGGTAAGAGATGCTTGTTGATCAAACAGGTAAATAATAATATTAAATATATTAAGTCTTCTACTTACTCCAAAAACCAGAATTACAAAATACATGACTTCCCATTCACAGAGGGTTTTTCCATATGAAAACTATGCCAGCAAGGCACAAAGTGTTCAGAGCAGCTGATGAGTAACACTTTCATGAACTGACAGGAAGTTGATTCAGTGTTGTATTTTAAACACAGAGCAGCAAAGGGACATTCAGTGTTGAGAAATGTCACAGATTTTTGACCGTCCATTTCAACACATTGAAGCAAGAAGGCGACTTTTACAAAGCTGAGTCAGATGGAGAACCACTGTGGACGACCTCCAGAGAGCTCCACTGGGAGTCTTTTCAGAGGAAAAGCTTTAAAGCTGCTGGTTGTAAAAATTCCTGCTTTAGATTTTTAAAAAGAATCTGTGCTGCATGAACTGTGACCCGTGTTTCGTAAAAACCCACCTTAGTTGTTTTAAAATTATGTCAATTTCTTCAATCAACTCTTCCTAATAACTTTTCAGCTAATTACTTTGATTTTCACATTTTGACCTTTTTTGATTTTGTTGAAAACAATAAACAGCAGAGCGTTCCCCAAAGCTAAACTTCAATTGCGCAGTCTGCCTTCGAGGAGATTAATACATTCAACATCATTTGAGGAGGTTTACCGGTTGTTTGTCCTTGACTAAGTCATATGATTTTGGGAAACCAGTTACTAGTACTGACTTTTATAAAAAAAAGATGATCTGTACAGTGAACAGGCTTCAGTGGATGAGTCTACAGTATTACAAACAGTGTCTGTTTTAACCCTCTGAACCACAGTGGTGATGAGTGATGACAGATCACAAAGAAACACACACCACACAGTGCCGTGTAAAAATTAGTGGTAGCCCCAACTGGTGGCTTATAATACATCCATATAGTACCTCTGGGTAAAGTGAGAGTTCACTTTTATATAATATTTTTACAGATGGAAAGGCAAGATGTGTATTTTTTAGACTTTTCTCAAGCTCTTAGTAGAGAGTTTAGATTTGCTGGATTCACTTTATCATTTGTATTGTAGATTTGTAACTTGTATTATAGATTTGTAATGTGTATCATAAATGTGTAGTTTGTATCGCAATGAAAGTGTGACTTTGAAGTGGCTTCGCTGTTGTCTGTAATTCCCCTATCGCTTCAGTTTGTCAACCTTGAGTCTTGTACTTGTAGGTTTTTTTTTGTGAGAGAAATTCAAACATTCTGCCAGTATGAAATATCACTTTACAAAATGACAAAATTCACAAAACTATGCACTTACCAACAACTAACAAGACCAGTTAAACTAACGATGGTTCTGTTAATTAATGTCACTTCAAATGTACCAAACAACAGCTGTGCTCTGTGCCCCATGTACACCAGGTCTTTACAGTGAATGCATGTGATGTCCAAGACATTTTATCTATATTTTATTTTTTTTTTCTTAGGCTCATTGTGACAAGGAATGCTAAGTTACAGTTTTGTTGTTTTTTTTTTTTTTTTTACAGGAAATTACAGTGATTAACCAGATATCATGTAATCACAGCAAAGCATTATATTGTAATGTGTTTAAAAACAATACTATCTTTAAATTACACAACTCAAATCTCTGCAAATTAACCCGTGTCTCGTCTACACACTTAAATAGTAGTGCACAGTTTCTTCCTCACACAAGTGAATCATCTCCTACAACCAAATTAAAAGTCCACACATTAGAGTGCAATCTCTAAACTACCTCTGGTTCAAACAGATGAAATAATCAGTGTGAAACACTCACTGTCCCAACTCGTGCTCGACTGAATGTGACGGGTCAACATCAGCGTATAAAAATGTGATGCACAAGAACTAGAATAATGTATACAGCACATTCCCTGGGAGAGCAGCTCTGGATCAATTAAAGCCTGGAACGTGCCAAAGTTTAGGCCACAGAGGCATGTTTGCTAACAGTGGTCTTTTTGCATCCAATCTCAGATCTCACTCTCCACAATATATTGCTTTCATTATTAGCAATGAACAACTACAGACTAAGATTTATGAATGTTTTTTAGGTCAGAATACCTGGTTTGGATTTCATATCATTTTAGATGTATATTTATTACACTCAAAAGGGATTTGTGTCTTGAATAAATGCCAAACATGAGCAACCAATCAGAAATCAGCAGTGTCTTTTTTAAAGCTTGTAAACAGAGTGATTTTTTCATTTAGGTAAAGATTGTCTCCTGTGATATTCCACCTTTGTTGTATATTCTTTCATTATTCCGCTGTATTATTTTGTGTTTCACATTAACAGCTTAATAACTGTGTTTTACCCATGTTGTTTGGATACATGATACACGATTTAGAAAATCAGTAGGAACTAGAATGGCACTCAGTAGAGCACATACCTCTGCCAACAACAAACAGTCCTACATGTTGGTCTTGCTCTAATGGATCTGCACCAAAATTTATTGGGTTCTTCTCTGGCCCCATCCTTCCATCAAGTGTGGTGCAAATTGGTTTAGCTCTTTTTTGCATAAACTTGCTGACAAATAAACAAAAAAACCAACATGGGTGAAAACCTAACCTCCTTGGTGAAGGTAGTTAGTGCTGTCAAAATATTGGTCATTCAAACTTCTTAAATTTGAGGATTTTTATTTCCATGTTCCCTTACTTATTACAATTAAGCAGAGAACCAGTTGAAGACAATCACTGGAAACAAAAAGGCCAGTTTTAAAAATCCAGATGTTCTACAATAGACCAAGAGGCCCATGAACATGAGTCACTGTATGTGCTTAATTAAATTATTTTATAAAAAGGTCTCTTGTTGTCAGATGTTCACTAATAGACTAATGGAAATGTGTATATTTAGAGTCAAAATACTACTGAGCATTTTACTGCAAAAGGACAGTGAAGGTGTTTTCATGCTTGGGCTTCTCTTGGCTTTATTTTTCTGGACATGAAGCTGTTAGACCTAAGAGGCTGACACTTTTAATCAAATACAGAGGTTGCTTCTGAGCCTGGTTAAATGAATTCCTCATTAGATACCCGATTTGTTGATCTATTAAAATGTCAGAAGATACACAAATTACAGCAACAGGACTAGAAGTATAAAAACTCACTTAGCACAGCAGCTGATGGCAGCGCAGTGAGCCCAGCCTTCTTGTCAGAGTGCATGCACCAACAGCATTTCACAAAATGCACGCCTTGTCTGAGGCCGCTGTTATACAAACAATTATACAAAAATAGGCTGAGCAAGCATCCCATGATTCAAAGGAACATTTAAACAAGAAGAAGAAACCATCCTGGGTGCAGTCTCAAATGTGGAGACAGTGGCTGTATCATTGTGCTGATTAATTGAAATTGAAAGTTTACTCTAATGTTTCATCTTTTTCATCAACAACTTGTTGTGTGAATGTGAAATTCAGTTCTCTTTAGCCATCATGCAATAACTCGATAAATCAGGAGGACAAAACTGAAACAGGTGAGAGAAGAAGGGCAGAGTGAGGTCTATTTTCTGTAGCTTTGATGTTGTTTTCTGTGCTTATGTGGGGGTTTCTTCCCAACCCAGAATACATGCAGAATACTCTTGCCATTACCACTGAGCAAGGCTCTGATCTCAGAACTGCGCTTGGTCCCCAGGCACTGACTGCTCTGTGGCTGTAGACTGCTGCTAAATAGTTAGGAGGGGTCAAATGCAGAGAACAAATTCCCCTACTGGGATTTAGATCAAGTACCTTGATATATGATTCTGCATGAACACCCTCCCTGCAACCAGTGAAATGTGTCCATTTCTATCAGTGAGTATAATACACATGTCCTACAGCAGCAACTTGCTTTCACATTAAAGTAATAATAAGTAACTTGGCAACATACTAGTTTATGTAGGACCACCTGTGCTCTGAAAATCAGCACTTACTGAGCAACGTGTCAAATGGTTGTAATGGATGTAACTGACCAATTACAACGCATAAAATGGTCGGCTAATTCAGCAAATGAAGGCACTGAAAAATGAGTATTTGATAAAAACATCACTACAATGCACTGTAGTGTAGAGATCCACAACATATTACCGCAGCATCAGAGTCTCATATTACAGAATATGAAGAGCATGTAAGTACATTTCCATTTCATGAGGCAAAAAGCTGGTGAGCTTTGACATGAAGAGGGCTCGACAAACATCTCCTTTGGTGCTGGACACTATCTGTCCTGGTTGTCCAACCTGAGGCCACAGTCCGAAGCGTCCTCAGAGGGAGTGTCTAGGACGGGATTGACAAACCCTTCAAATTCAGTGTTTGCACTGTCCTCTGGGTGAGTACTCACAAAATCATTTTCCCACTCCAGTGCGTTGGAGTCCTCGGAGGCCGAGGTCGGGCCGCTGTTCATCTGCTTGCCGCCGGGCCTCAGGGCTGCGCGCAGGATGTCCTCCTCCGTCCGAGACCTCTCCCAGGCTGGAAGTGCTCGATTGATTCCTACGACGCAAGGACACAAGTTTTCATTCTGACAGCAGAAGTCGATGAAGTCAAAAACTGCTGCAGGCGGTAATCTGGTGGCTCAGAGGGGCCACAAAGCATGTAATCTGTTCCTACAGACTTTCTGAACCAAATTTAAAACTTAAAATACCACACTTAATTGTATTTTTATGTCTTTTATGGAACCTGACTTGACGACATGCTGGTAGTATGTATATATAGGACTGACTGACTGATCTGAATTGGCTGTATATATCTGTTAGGGTGTAATACAGGACACACAGGTAAAACAGCACAGAAGCAGCCGCTCCCACCTTAGAACAATAGCATAATAATACTAATAACGTGTGGGGTTTGTGTTACAGTACTGCATATGCCTACAGTTAATAATGTGTTTCTGCTGCTGGGCTTTTGAGAAGGGTTGATACAGTGAAGATAAACTGTGTGCTGCTTCATCTTCCTCCTCTTTGCTGCAGTGTCACTGAAAAACAGAATCAGCCCTGGTTTGTGGAAGCAGAGAGAGCTCTGACTTGGTCTTGCTCAGTGTGATCGAACCTCTAAACAGAATGAATATTTGATGGACTGGGCATTTTTTCTTAACTCTGTAGCTGAGGAGTCAAAGGTGACTCTCAACAGAAAAATGAACAGCTTAGCTTGAGAAAACTCCCTGATGTGAGAAAAAATGAAAGTCTCACCTTCCTCATCCTCCCACTCTAGGTCCAGTGAGGTGCCGTCATCATTGGTGGAGCGGGTCTTAGTGGTGAAATCCCAGCTGCACTCTGTGTTGGGAGTCACCACATTCGTGTCGGAGGGAAGTCCTGGTAACAATAGAGAACATTATCAAAAAAGAGTGCATGTAACTCTTTTACCTTTCCATGGAAATGCAGTTTTCTTTCAACCGGTAAACAAACACATGGTTTATTTATCAGCAAGTTATAGACGTGTATCTTATTAGACTTGATAATTAAGACTGGAAGGTCACTCACTGCTGCTCCTGAAAGCCTCAGACTGGGCTTTTACATTCTGGAGGTAGACATCAAAATCCTCCCCAGAGGTTTGTCTGAAACAGGCAATAATGTATCAACACAAAAATAAAACAATTCGAAGTCCATTCACTCATGAAAAAAGTGCACAAAATACTGCACAAACAGGAATGCATGCACAAAAACATCTGTCCTAAACTGAAGCCAGCCTGTATAAAGCTTCATCCTAAGTCTTCTACTTCAACCTGTTCTTCACATTCGGAGGCAATGAAAACTGATACTGTGCTCAGCTTTGTTAGAGCTGCCTCCTTTCATTACCACTGTAAAGTATGAGGATTTGCGAGCTCGCAGCTCCCGTCTGGCACAGTGAAAATTTGTTAAGCATTGAATTCTGAGACTGGATACCTTGTAGTGCTTTAATATCTGCTCTGCAGCCTACACACTGCGTGACTGCAGGAACACACCGAGTTCTAACATCATTAAATCAATGTTTCTGTTGAGAGCTGAAAAATTCCTTCTGCCAAATAGCAACAAATGGTAATATCATCCATCTGAGGGGCTGAGAGAGTTGTGATTTGCCAGATGTTGAAAGTTTTCAAATATTTCTTTACATCTGCCACCAACTGAGATGGATGAAAGATTCAACTTATCACAAATTCCAAGATTACTGTCTACTTGGTATGTCTACTGAAACCTATGCAGAGCCTCATGACCGCAGTTTGTCCTCGGCCCAACAACCATTCTGTTGTCTAATGAACTTAAGTGACTCACTTTCTTTGCTGAGTTTCACTGCCAGAGCCATCTGCTTTCCCCCGTGTCCTCTGGGCAGACAGCTGCTAACAAAAACACCATAGATCAAGACAACAAAAAAAAAAGTCATATCTTCCCACTATTAGAAAAACAGACAGATTATATTAACTGAAAACAGACATTTAACAGTTTTGGTGCCATCAAGAAAACATGTGAGCAAACAACTTTATAAAACAAAAACAGCAAAGAAGCAGTGGAATGTGGCATGAAAAACAACTAAGAAATCTGAATCATAACAGTCCCATTTTCATCATCACATCACATAATAATAAAAGCCATTTTCAGAGGTAGAAGAAGAAGAAGCCCAGCAAAAATAATGGTCTTTTCTGCAGCATGGACCTTGTCTTTTTTCTCACTGCTTGCACTTATGAATAAGGTCCAGTGTTATGTCTATTGGCACTTTGGTCCATGCAGTATATTTTGCATTTTTCTAGTAAAAATTATTACATATTGAAGTGCCCAAGTAAATAAATCGTTTGCTCCACTACTATAAAGTGGCTGAAATACACTGTACCTATTGATTATTTTTTTGTCCAGGGAATGATTAGAAATGCTAACAATGCTACAAACTGTTTTCCAGATAAATGAAGCACCATCACAGACAACACTTTCCCTGACTTGGATGACAAAGACAGGTTAATGAGCACAAGAAGAAGACTGAACAGAGAAAATATCACTGTGTCCTTTAAGACACAGAAGGCTGAGGACTTGAAATGCTGGGGCCAGTAGGTTAGAGGAGAAGTTGTTTAGCCAAGCAGTAAGTCAGCCTGGCAGAAGGGAGCGCTCAGTGCCGCCTCACCTCCTTCATTTTTCGTTCACGTGCCAACTTGGCGGCCTCACGCTGGGCGGCATTTCTAGCCTCCTCTTCTAGCCTTAAATTCTCCTCTTGTGCCTCTAACTGAGCAGAAATAACAAAAATGAAACAAACACAAAACAGAAAATTACAAAACAGAAAAAACAATGCAGCAAATTAAAAATAAGCAAAAATAGGTCTAAAACGTAAAATGAAATGATGGGGGCTGTTAATCTAACAAAGACGGATCCCTCTAAAGAAGCTTTTTGAAATTGTGCCTTACCTCCGCTTGTATCTTCTGGTCTATGAGGATCTGCTTGTCTGAGATCGCAGTGTAGCGGTGTTCTCTGAGGTGCTTGATTTCATCTTCACTGATAGGCCTAATAAAAAAAAAGCAAAAGAATATATTGAAGGTTAACTATCCTTTCAAATTCTTTTAAAGTGTTTTTTTTAATCAAGGAACTCATGATCATTTTTTAGTCACAAGACCTCTGACCTTGGGCAGGGCTGCGGGCTGTCTCCCTCCCCCTGCAATGCAAAAAACAAAGGATGTGACCATACAGCATTGAATTCCAGTGTAAAACACATCTTCACTGCTGCGCTGTTTGACTAAAGTGCTACCAGTCTGGGACTCTGCAGACAGTAATCTAGTTACGGCTTGGAAGGAATAATGGAAGACTGCCATATTACAGTGATGGGTGCGCAGTGGGTGCACCCATCGTTTTCTATCCATCACTGGAGAATGGCTTTCTCCAGGAAAGTCTGGCGGGAGTCTGGAAGTAAAAAGTATCCTGGGAGTAGCAGCATAATGCAGCTTTTAATTAGACTACATGTCTTATAAAACACTTACTCAGTCTTTTACAATGTAATTGTGTCCCAAGCAGTAGACCAATAATAGAACTGAGAGAAAAGTCACTAACAACGTTTTCACTTAACTTATTTAGGTCCTGAAAGCTCTTAAAAATAAACATAATCAGAAAGATGATCAGACTTACCTCATCACTCTCTACCAGATTTTCAAACTGCAAAATTAAAATACACAATTAGACATAGCATCACACGAGCTGAATAACAGTTCTAGTAAATGTATGACTCATACCTCTATTGTGTAATGTTCCCCTGTGGTGCTGCTTCGGAAATATTTGGATCTGTAAGAATAAATCAGAGAACATGAACACACAGCTTAAACATTTAAAGTGAACTGCTGTAATTTTACCTTCAGGAGCTGTATGATGATTACACTGTATAGCTCTGACATTAAGATAAACACAAGGAATGAATCTAGGGGAAGGAACTGAATTCAATGAACGTGCTGCTCATCTGTAACAGTTACCACAAAAATTGTATATCATACACAACCTATAATAACCTTTGATGAACCCTCTTACTGTAAATAAGACTTGGGGCCCACCGCAACTTCATAATGTGTGTTTTGTTGTTAGCGTTAGCATACATTCTGGAGAAGCTCTTATCAGAAATGTTGGACAATTGAATTTAATGGAGGCAGCTCTGACTTTGGAAACATGTCTATGCAAATGGCAAGTCTATATTGCTTTCTGATGGGGAGACATATGTTTCCTTTGTTAGTTTAGCTATGTTAAAGATGACACTGGATTAAAATAAAATCTTAAGAGGAAATAATGTGTTCATCAATAGGCAGCAGTTTGATTTTTAAAAGCTGTTGCCTGTCTATAATGCATATTAAATAGGGTGAAGCAAATTTATACTCGAGCAGTCTGTCCATTTACATATGTCCACTCCATCTGTCTAGTTCATATTACTGACACAGACGCGTGGCCACTCTAGTTTAAACAAGAAAACATATGCTGAAATGTTAGCATCAAACCCAAACACCAGTGATCTGTTGTAAATACACAGATGATTTTTTTTTGTCTATAAACTAACTAAGCAGGTAAATTGACCAATGTGCCATTCTGTCAAAGACATGGTTAGTTACTTAAAAGGTGAATCAACACATTGAATCATATGCAGCAGAAAACTGCTGCTGAATAAACACTGGAGAGCCACAGGTGTAGCTAATAACATTAATGATTTGTCAGCGTAGACAATATCAGGTGCAGCAATAATTAACATTATTGATTACACCTGTGATTTTCCTCCAATGACATGTCAAGAGGTCTGCAATCAAACAGGTCTGCTGCTCTAACAATAGACATCACAGGTGTTTTACCTTTGACAGGTTATAGGAAACAGCTTTAGTGACACAATATTAACAGCTTTGGCTGGTTATGTCCATGATTCATTGAAGATGTTCAACCTCATAATGATGCCAAATCTTGACAAACTTTCTATTATTCTGTTTATTTCTCTGCATGTAGTGTGGAACAAAACTTGCATTTTATTACTCCAATCAAGACGGTTGTTATTTTACAATGTTACAGCATGACCTAATGGGAGCAGGCAAAGTGTACGTATACATATTTATGATGAGGTTTCTAAATTGACAGTCTCAGACAGATACCTTATAACTTCTGTTGTATCAGCTCCAATATGGAAACACATGGAAGTGACTGAATGTGGAACAGCTTACTGCTGGAGGAGAGCAAGCCTTCTCTAATCTTAACAAAGCACAGGGTAAAGTCAGACTAAAGACATTAATTATTAACCTTAAATATGGTGACATGACTGCCTGTAAGTAACACAAGAAACAGACAGTTGAGAACCAGTGTGTGTATAAGGAAGACAGACTGAACTACGAGGTCCAGGTATTAGTCTACTATCATTGTCAAAGACCACTTCAGCAGCTCTGGCTCGGTCTGTGTCATACTAGTGCTTTCCTTTACTTAGACCTAGCTAACCCCATGTCCACACTGTTGACAATAGGGGTGGGGTCTTGATTCCTGCTGCCACTGTCTGACTGCAGGTCGATCCGCACAACAGCATATCCAGTATCTCAGTGACCGGCCTTTATCTCTCGGTTACATCACCACCAGGCTAACACACAGAGCTGTCAAAAAGTCTTACCGTACACCCTGTGGTATCAGCTATTAGCTAACCAACTGCTGGCTAATGTTAGCAGTAACCGGATACACTTGTTCAGATGATGCTAGTTAGTTAGCTCTCCCGGATAAAGCCATGTTTCACCTACCCGCCTCCTCTCTGGATCCTGTTGGCTTCTCTCCTGAAGAGCCCGACACAGTATGCCCAGCAGTTACCCATCGCATTGTCAAATATTACTAATATCTAGCTGCCTGACAGCTGCTGGTGCATCACTGCTGGTAGCTACATCTCCAGGTCCAGTCCTCTTCTCCAGCCACTTCCTCATCCTCCTTCCTCTTCGGTTGATGACATGCCAGACTGAAATGTTCAACACCACCGCCTACTGTCGTTTTAGTGTAGTTTTTTGATAAATGTGACCAGGTTCTGGCATAGAATGAGACAGTATTTTAAAACCTGCACGAAAAATGGGATCTTATTGCTTCTTACATTTCAAAGATGGAGGGAGTACTAAGGAAAAAATGTTTGGCTCGCTTATCTAATGATGTCAGTCAAATTATCCCTGATAAGGGTTTTGCAACAAGACACTGATTCATTATAAGGGGTCACAATCCAAAACCACTGCTTCTTGCTGGTGGTCAACTCACATCTTTTAACAGGGCGGAGGGGGCTGGTATGTTCTTCTGCGTCCAGTTTAATAGAATCGGTCTACATGCTAACAATGTTACAAAAAAATGTTTGACAATTATATCAGAAGCTTTCACACCAAAAAACAGCCAGAACAGGGTCTGATTTGAGTGGTTTCTCTGTGACCTCAGACAGAGATTGGAAGGTTTTAATCCAGTAGTAAATAATAATTGTTCAGTTACAAATCATATGTGCTAATGAGGCTGACTGCATTTTAATATTTAAAACATAATTTTCTTTGCATAATTTTCGTTTTTTGTTTGTTTTTTACTCTATGTCATCAGAGGTGAAGAGGTAGTCATGGAGCTCGTCCACGTCGGGGATGTTGGCCACATTGCTGACTTTGACTTTCGGGGCAACAGGCATGCATCTGGGCATGAGCTTTCTCCCACTCTGAAAGAAAATTGGATAGAGTTTAAGCATTGCTCCTGTTTTTTTTTTCGCTTTTACTGCAAATTCAGTCTCAGTGTTTAAGACAGGTGGTCATCCAATTTAGGTAGTGATAATTTACTGATATGAAATTGTTTTAATTAAATTTTGATGTTTACTAGTGATAATACAAAATTCAAAGAATAGTACAAATTAAATATTAATTTATAAATAAAAATATAAATACATTTTTAAGTGAATGACTTACTATTTTCTTGGAGTCAGCCAGGGATCTCTCCATATACCTCCTCATCCTTTCTTTCTGTTTCTCTCTCTGCTCTCTCAGCTTTTCTTCACGCTCCCTGCAACATGATGTACAAAGAGAGGGGATTTTTTAAATAACATAGCTACTGTGTTTTTTATTAAGCATAGAAAGAATATATTGAAGGAAACACAATCCTGGTGTGCAGGAGTAATGCTGTCACATGATTGCCATTAATCTTCACAAAAGTCCTGAATTTGTTACATAATCAATTTTTCTTCTAGTGAATATAACTTAAGTATCATCACTGAGACATACCTGGTCCTCCTCTCGCTGTCTTTTATCCTTTTTATCATCTCCAAGACTTTTTCAGGGATGCTCTCAAGGCCCTGCAGCAGTATAGACATACGGTTCTCAATACTGACAAGTTTCTCCAAGGTGCTGAGGTTGGTCATCCTGTCATCCACGCAGCTGCGATACACCTCCGACACTTTGTCACCGAGAGCTTCAAGCATCACATCCTGTCAGCAAGAGAAAGACACTCAGATAGTCAACGTGAGCATGCTGTGGACAGTCTCCTGTGACCACAGAGATCAATTTAAAGAACTTTAAGATTTTAAATGTGTTTGGAAAAAAGTTATTATATTTTGTGCTTGCTTACCTGGTCCTCTGTGTTCAATGAGACATGGACCTGAACCTTCTGTTTGAGCTTGTTGCCTCCCGCCTTCTCTTTGTTGATTCTTTGGTTAATCTCATTTATCTGTATATTTAGCTGCTCTTCCTCCTTTTCACTATAGACAGAAAGGGATTTAGCATTGGATGGATTTGACAGAGAGGAGGGAATGAATGAATGAATATTGTTTGGGAAACTAAAAATGTATAAAAACAGGTCTGAAATTCCAAACAGAAAGGTTCAGGAAATGGGAAAAACGGACCTAAATTTGAAAGGAAGTGGCTTTTTTTTGTTTTCCATTTTCTGACCTAATTGTTTAGCTGAAACTGTCATCCACAGTGATGGACAATTAATAAAAAATACAGATAACAATAGACAGATAATCCCTGTGACCATATAGTAAGAATGTCAGCGTGAACTGTAAAAGAAGTTTTTTAGGAAAGACAACAGGTAAAAATGGCCAATGCCAAAATAATTAATTCACAAATCCTCAACCCACGATGCTTACATCTTCTTCCTGGTCGTCTCCACGGACTGTCGGAGCCCCTCCATTGTCACTTCAACCCTTGTTGAGTTCTGAATCAGGGACAAGTTCTGCTCTGTCAGCTCAGTCACCAGATCTAGAAGCTGCTGGGGATCAGAAAAGTACAGCTCTGGCTCATCCTGCAGAGAAGTGACACAACAAAGTGGGAGAGATGGGTGTACTGTAAGTACTGCAAATAAAAACTCAAGATTAAGAAAACAAACTGCTTCAGTGGAAAACTGACCTCATACTCTGAGATGTCAATATCCAGATTAGAATTTGTGATCCTGAAATGCCAAAGAAAGAGTTTGGGTTCAGGAGGAAGTTTTGCAGCAGCATGTAAACAGGATTTCGAATGAGTTTTGTGCAAGATGTTCAAAGTGATACTAGCATGCTGTGTGCCACAACAGAGAGAAAATGAAGTATGAGAGAATGTTAAAATGACCATATAAAAGTATATCACAGCATATACCATATACAAGGACAGGTAAAAATTATAATTAGTGTTTATTTTGCCTTATGAGAACCCCTGCCTTATTTACCACTGCTTCAGATTGTAAGACATATACTGTGCATAAACACAACATTGAAGACACAGTGTTGTGTTTGAAGTGAGTGTGTTGGTGATTACACTGTGTCGCTGTGGGCTGAGGACAGACTGGTCTCTCTGATGGAAGGCAGCTCTCTACCTGGACTGGACACCAAACCTGTGCACATGTTATCATTCAAATCACACCACTAGCACCGTCCATACTTGTTGCAACAAACCAATAATAATACTGATAAAATAAAATAAAATAAAACAAAATCATGAAAACACAGTTTCAGGACATTAACCCGTGTCACCCCTGTCCTCATAATCTACTTTATGTTGATTCACTTGGTTTTTCCTTGCACCAAGCTGAAGTACTTGCCGTGACTAATTCCTGACTCCTTAGGCTTCCTTTTCTGCTTGTCCTGTGTGTCTTTGTCAGACAGGACTTTAGATTTCAAAGAAGCCTTAGCTTTCTGGGCCTCCTGCCACTCTGGAGGAGACAGCTTGAACAGAAGCTCTTTGTATCTCTTGTAGTCTATCAGGATTTCTTCAAACTTGGCAAATTCACTGTGAAGAAGAAATACCAGATTTAAATCCAGATGACATGACACTGTGTCTTTCCAACTTTATTCACCTTCATTTATACTTTTTCACTGTATTTACTTAAAATATGATTAACTCATATACAAGTGTTAATAATACAACATCATGAGAGTGCTACCTCTTTATGGTGCCTATTTCAGCAGTCAGTTTCTTGATCTCAGCATTCTTTTCCTGTTTGGACTTGGCCTCCCGTTCAAAACTGACAACAGAGACAAGACAATCATTTGCATTGTGACTTTTTAAACAGCATATGAATGTCTTGTTAGGATAAACACCAGTCTGTATTGAGATCATAATAAGAGTAAAACCAAATTTGAAGACCCACAATTTGATCTTTTAGTCACAATAACCTGAAACCACTTCATATGTTGATACTTACAATGTTCTGGCCTCCACAGACTTTTTCTCATTCTCCCTGAGGAACTCTTCAAAGATGAGGTTGTCTCTTGCAATCATCCTTTCAAGTTGTTTAAGCTGTCTCTCCTCTTTTGCAATGGCCTTGTCCATCCTCAAAATTTCGCCCCTCTTCGTCAATAGAGATAACTGAATAAGGGAGCATTGGAGATGATTGAAAAGGAACTGAACACAGTCAGAGATGTACTGGCAGTTGAAGGAGTAGATACTGATTGAACAAAACAACTGAGTAATAGATGTTTCTTTAACACGTGTAGAGTGACATCAGCTTTTTTTCACATGTACAGTAGTATGTAGCTCAGGATGACTAGATAGCTGACAGAAAGCAAACACTCATGCATAAAGCACCTGTAGACTGAGAACCTGATTATGAATCCAGATTGTTTTCATGGCTCCATCTTTATTAAGATCTTAGCAACTCATAAAATAATTTACCTCCAACACTGCCTTCTGTCGTTCCATGGAGATTAAGTCATGTTTGCTGTCTTTTGTAACGTTTTCTGAGAACAAACAATAGCAATCAGTTCATCAGCCATCCAGTGGCTGTGGAATGCAGATAGGGGCTTCAAAAAGCTACAAGTAGCACCTTTACAAAATTTGACATACTTTGACTCTATAGTCTCTCACCTCGTTTCATCATGGCCATCTTCAACTCATGTCTGCCCGGTGTTTGTTTAGGGAAAGTTGTCTTACTCTTGATTTGTTTTAGATTCTTCATCTTTTCCTTTTCCCCCTCCTCCTCCTCATCCAGTTTTCCCACCAGCTCTTTCTTCATCTTGGTCATCATTCGTGCAGCGTGGGTCGTCTTCTTATCAATTGGCAGAGCCAGGAATTTACGCATCTCCTGAGCATGGAGGAGCAGCATGACTTAAACAGAGCAACAATCAATTTTTCACTTCTTGCAAACACTGAGTCAGATAAATATCATGCAGTGGATGTAAAAAAAATAAATGTATTCTATAAACACAATTGCACTCAAGCGCAAAGACCAACCTCTCTTTGGCTCTCTTTTTCATTTACGCTCTGTAGAAAAATGCTATTACTTTCTGGTACTTTGAATGGGCTTTGTCGTATCTCCTTCCTCCTTCTCCTCATGTCTACACACAATGGATTGAAAACACAAAACTAATGAGGGTGTGTAGTTTCCTATAGTTTTGTCTCTATTTTTCAGACTTGTCACTTTGCCCACTCTACCTTGTTTATGTGATTTGGCAGCACTTTCTGTTTCTGAAACAACAATGCTGCCTGAAGAAACCTCTGGTCCCTCTGTTGAAAACATAATGACAACAATGGTCCAAATTAATCAGTAATCAATCAATCACTTAGACTGTTTGAATTGTTCTTGTGTATGAGGCATTGTAACAAAAGCTTACTAGGTTGTGGTGATGACATTTCTGACATTTCCTTTGGCATCTGGTGCTGCACTGGCTCAGTGTTGCTGCAGGTTACAGAGAGAAAACAAATGAAAACAAACTACATCTCTTCATTAACCCACTTAATTCCAAAAATTGGCTGTAGCCCAGAACAGTAGTTCTAAACCAGGATAGCACTGCCAAAGGAGGGGGATCCTGGCTGGTCTCACCTTCAGGCCAGTGACTAAAGGTGGCTGCCTCAGTGTCAACTTTTAACTCCTTTGAAGTCCTTTCCTCAGACACATTTCTGCAGGCAATGATTCATATTGTTTATAACTCAACTTCCAATTTGCTATTGGCCATTTTCGTGTTTAAAATGTATTCATTATTGTTAAAGGCTCGCTTTTTTTCATGTGTTTGCTGATTAGACCTGTGTTTGGTGGAAACATGCTGGGAATGACGTGATGTCATGTGTCAAACTCAATGTGCTTATTATAATTATAAAGATCTTTAGGGGGCCTAATCAAGCTAAAGTGAAAACACCTGTGGCAAAGGGCCATTGGTGTACAGGGCTTTTGATTTTTATGATGCTTTTAATTATTCTATTCTTCCTTGTGATTACCTATTCAGGGCACGTTGTCGAAGTCTAATTTTAGCCAAATAAAATGAAAAACACTTGATACTGTGCTTACATGTTGCAGAATACAAAATAAATTCGTGCCAAACTAGCTAACGTTACAAGATAACCCCGGTTTGTGTTTCTCGTGATAAACAACAACTGGGTGTAGCTACTGGACAGATTAGCATAGAGAAAATAGTTTAACACACTTCTTCACATTAATGTTCATAAAAAATTCAACCTACCGTCTTATAATGATGTTCACACACAGAACAAGTATAGAGAGAGAAGAATATTAGCATACAACTTCGCCCCTCGAACGGGCCGTTCAATGTGTGTACTGTTGTCATGGAAACTGTTGCCTTCATGGCCCCCTTGTAAAGTTCTCCTCACATGACAACTCGTATACTATACGTGTAGCTGCCTTTTAAGTTTCTGTCTGTATATGTGTATATACCATCTGATACTGCTGCCACTATTCTCTGATACACACCATCAGTGGTGTTTTCATGTTTTAGTTGAAAAAGTATTGAAAAATACATCAAACCAAAGTAACAGAAGGTTTGTAAAATGACTTTGGTTTGATGGACTAACATTTAGCAAAGTTAGACACAGGAAGAGGAATTCAAGCTTGCTCATCAATTCTGTAAGCCAGTCACATTCATTCTCCACTAGATGGCATAGACAGATCACACAGTCTGACCCAGGCTGAGCTCAATATTTCCTCTCTGTGCTGGATTGAAACCCAGATTTCAGGACTGTAAGTGATGCTGTTGAAAGGCATGTTTGGAGTAGTGCATCTATGTCAGTGATAATTTCTTCCTAAGTTAACTTGACTTGATTGCCAACACACTGTGTGCAAGTGAATATACTTAGAATCTAATACTGTACATGCGCTCCCACGCATCCACACATGACCCTGCACATCTCAGCTCAACAAAGCAGCCCACACACTACACTTGCTTGTAGGAAATCCCAGTGTCAGATTGTCAGGTTAAAGTAATGCAAACACATGGGCGAGTGTTGGCTCTCACAACAGAAAAAAGGGCACGTTGTGTAGGGAAAGAGGAACGGTGCTTTTATTCAGATTCGAAGGGACTGCTTCATGCCCAGGAGTGGATACAAAAACCTCAAGCAAGCACTAGCACAAAGACCTGATTTACATTTCCAACTTTCCTTGAATTCTTGTTATTTCTCCACAAAATTCCTGAAATGACTGTTCTTCACACTCTCTGCAACCAGTCCTCTGACAGTTTCCAGGAAAGTTATTCTGCCTACAGTATCACTGCCTTGCAATGTGTATGACATTGTTTGCTGTAGCATGAAGATGCTGTAAAAGCAGCTGGTTTCTTACAACACTGCATGGGTTGTTTGAGCATTACAGATTGCCTCCACCTCCTCCGCTCATGTATCCCAAAGACCGTGGATATTTGGTATTATATAAGAGGTGAACATTCAGCCTTCTATGCATAATGAGATCGACAGCTTTTCTTTAAACATAATTAACACCGCCACCTTCAGTGAACAAAAAAACATTTTAAATAAGGAAAAAGATGCTCATCCGTATATCACCAGATAAATGCGCACAGAAATAAATCCAGATGAATACACAGAAATAAATTAAACAAGGAAGCATTTTTTGAGAAACATGTTAATTTTGGGACTGTCTAAGAATAAACATGAAATGGACAACTACTTAGAGGCTAATTCTCTTCCTCATTGCAGTGGGTTTAGGTGGCTGAGTGAAAAAGCAGCAGTGACCTCCTGTCATGAAACAAATGTCAGAGCAGAGTTGGAGCTGCCACGCTGTCAGGAAGCTGTTGAGGCGGCTGTGAGACGCAGACTGAGCCCAGGTCCATACGACTGTGCTGCAGGGCTCCAGACTGAGACAGCATTTAATAAAGTTTGGCTGCTGAAACTTTATTCACTGAACCTCACATTCAAACTCATGCACTATAATTTCTGTATTAACAGAATCGTAAGAGTGAGCAAAGTAACATCACAAGCAAAAACTATGGATAGAAATATAAATAAAAATAAATTAACTATACAGACATAAAAAGTCATTGTAACTAATTAATCCAAAAGAATCAATGTGTCATGATTATAGATGATTCTTTTATAGTAATTACCTGATACCTTGTTGCTAATGAAATAACAAGACTTACTATAATGTAAGTGCTTAAACGAATATAGGGATCTGTAAATGTTAACTATGTTTGATAATTGACAATTATAGTCAATTTAAGCACAGATATACATTCTTTACTTGGGAAGACATACCTTTGGTAAATTATTTGAAACTCAAGGTTGACTTATTAGCTTCTTGTCCAGATATTTCTACTTATTCTAAGGTCTTCTTCGGCAAACTTGCTCAAGTGTCATCATGTGACCTGAGTATATAACTTCGCTCACATGATAACAAGTGGTGGACCACCTGTTATCATGTAAATTACATTATACAAACAACTGTTATCATGTGACTGAAGTTAATATGTTCACAGTGTTTTGTAAAACTACGTAAACACAAGTCCTGACAAAAGTCACAAACATCACAGTAATGCACAGAAAACTGGACAGAAAGAAAAAGTCTCACAAAGTGACACAAAAAATGACACATCCACTTACATGAGGACCCCGACAGAAAGTCTTTGTTAGTTGATAGAAAAGCTCTTTCCTTCTTGGATTAAACATACCAGAAGTCAGGTCCGTCTGTCCTGTACTTTCAGCTTTGTTTTTGCTTTTAAGGACAGATTTTAAGTCAAGTTTGATTTTTTGATCTAAAAGAGAGTAACGCTATGTTGACTTTCATTGTGTCAACGCCAGCTGAATTTAACAAATTTCCCTTTCTGCTGCAAAGGCTGCAGACATTTGTATGCGAGGCGTCACTGTCCCTACACCGGCTCTTTTTTTATTGTGCTTCATAGTTTTTGCAGCAGCTGAGGGAATTTTCTCTGGTGACTGAGCTGGTGAGGAGAAAAGGATGTGGTTGAATTCTGATTGATTAGTTACAGGTCCAGTAGTATGATTTTGGGTTTAACATGTGTCTAAAATCAAAATGCAGAGCTCCCGGTCATAACCTCAGCATCATGTGATGAGGTTTCAGCCATTAAAGTGTAAATATAAATCACTGTCATGGTGTCACTTTCCTCCTGTGTAACTCCTGAAAACCTGCCACTTTTCCACACAGCCAGCAGAGGCACATCTGTTCCAGTGCTCTCATTTGATATTATTAGCAATATCAAAACTCTAATAGCATGAAACAGGCACTTTGCAGCACAGGACCGACCCTGTTTCACTAGGAACTGTGCTGCCACTAACTTTTCTCTGGGACATGTCACAGGAAGTCCAAGGAGAAGTCTTTGTCTTTACCTTTTGACTCTTGCATGTATTTTTGTCATTAATATTTAATAAACGTTGAGAAAGGACGCGATTAGGAAAGCCTCAAAATTTAATGAACATGCTCAATCGATTAATTTCAGTGTTATGCTTATCCTTTGCTGTTCTCTCAAACAATCTGTTTAATTGAATGAATTATAGCTCAGTGAATTGGGAATATGGAAAGACATTTTCTAAATATAGGACGCTCAGAAGCATGTCTAATTCCAGTTTACACTGAATAATTATTTACTGGAGAACGAGTGAATCTTCAGCCTGACAAAAAGCACAGAAATTGAGACATTATTCAAATCTCCCAAAGGTCTGTCTATCAGGGGAGCCGGCTCAGTTTATACTTGTTTTTCATGCAAAGAAGGTCCTGTGGAAGGTATGACAGTATTAACAATTAATTAATTAATTAATTTCCTTGTACTCATAAAAATATTTGTTGAGGGATCTTTAAAGAGGACATAGTCTAAATTTACATTAATATGAACAACATCCATTTTTACACACATGCACAAAGCAAAATCTGGATGGATAATTAAATTGAAATCCTGCCAAGACAACCGTTCCTCTCCAGTCAGACCTTTGTGCTGTGCTTGAAATAAAACCACCTTGTTGCTTGTTGAACTTGTGACTGGTGGAGGCAAGACAGCTGAGAGGAGGGAAGAATGGAGTTGAGCAAAGAACTATACACTTAAAAATGAACAAAAATATCTAGAGCTTTTGTAAATGTGCAGTGTCATTAATATTCTTTAAGCCTTGTGGTGGTGTCACTGTTAGGATACTAATGCAGTGAAATGGAAGACAGCTCCCAGCAAATGGTTTTTTGATAGCTCTAAATGTATAGAGGAGGTGACACTGCCACCTTTAACAGTTAGTGATGCAGGGCCAGATAATAAGTGCTCAATCATCCTGATGTTTGGTCCTGTCCACACTGATATCAGTGTGTAGGAGCTGTGCTGACCATGTGTACATTTGTTCAAGGACAGTTGTGAAACAGAAATGTAACTGCAGAGCATATTGACCTCTGTGTGAGAAGTGAAAGTGAAATTTCCATGAAATTTCTCCTGTGTTTATCAATGAATTTAATTTTGTTTTTAACTTAAAATGAATCAAATGAGGATGTTTAATGTCAAAGAGGTGGATCACACTGTCAGGGAACTATACACCTGTGTATTTTAGCTTATTGCTTTGATTTTAAAATGGCACATTTACCATTTGCTTTGGTTTCAGCGCTCAACCGCGTGCCCAGTCGCTGCATGCAGCTGTTTTCAGAAACAAAAAAAAACAAAACAATGAAATACCAGATGTGCACTACATTCCCAACATCACATGACAGGCAGACAAAGTTAGGCACTAGAAGGTGAAGAGAGTGGAATAGATGTGTGGCCAATAAAGCATTCGTTTTGATGTGAGATGCTGGTGGTCGAGACGATCGTTTACAGACCCTCTAACACAGAACATGAGACATGAATGGAGGCTTTTGAGTTGTTGAAAGGAACCATTGAGGGAGCTGGACTTCATAATAAAATGCATTGTGTAAAGTAACAACTAACTTTCTGTGTGTCCCCTAAATAAATCAACTAATGCAACCTTAAAAACAAAAACAAATCACCCAATTTTCTGTGTACTAGGAGGTTTTTCCAGAGGTGTGTTGGAAAGGTCAAATCTTTCATAAACTGGCTGCGTGTTGAGTCACTCTTAAGGAAAAGCCACAGATTATCTCTTTAACATGCTGCTGATGAGGCCTGTACACGTAGTACAACTTCAACTTATTTCAGTCTATGTACTGTATCAGTATATTAACTAGATAGTCTGTAAATCCTAATGAATTATTACTTTCTTGTTTACATTTCCATTTGAAAATGTGGGCCCTTTGTGAACGACGAGTTCCTCTGTCAGTGGGACTGTACAACTGAATATTTGGGGG